ACAACAACCACAAGACCAACAACAACCACAAGACCAACAACAACCACAAAACCAACAACAACCTCTCAGCCAACCACCACCCCTTACGTGACCACCACGGAGCTGCTTCCAACAACAGTCATGACCACACCTGAGCCCACAGTCTCAACACTGCCCCAGACACTGGCCACCACTGTCCTCACTACAGCAGCAACCACGTGCCCCTCAACAACGCCCGGATCCTTCTTACAGCAAACCACACGTTTTTCAGCCATTGAGGTGGTCACAGAAAGGTCTTCCATCACTGCAGGTGAGAATTGTCCATTCTTTCCTTTCTGCTGATCAGACATGTGGTGTTTCCTTTGAAACAGAATTCTTCTACAATGGGCTACCCAGTGATCGGCACGTGCGCTTGTGTGTGTGCTTCTTTTCCTTTATATTTTTTAAAAGTCAGCTGTTTAGGTTCTCTACTTGACCTCCGAGGAGTCTTGCAGAATCTGAGTACTGAAGGTTATTCTGGGTCAAACTATACTCAGAATTGGGCCTATCCTCTCAGGAACAAAATATCCGTCGGAGTATTTGAGATTTGCTGAAATAAGGTGGCTAATTGCTGGCCTTAAAACTTCTAAGAGCAGGGGTTTCATGATGCCCACCCCTTCCCAGTTCATGGTTGCCGGGGAATGACACTTTCTTAAGTAGTGTAGACACTGGTAAGCTTCCCATGCTGCTGTAAATGACCCATTACCCATGTTCCTGTGAGCAACTCTAATTGACTCAGTTATGCACACACACACACACACACACACACACACACACACACACACACTCACATACATACAGAGAGAGATATAAAAAGACAGAGAGAGAGGGAGAAAGGAAAAGAGAGAGAGAGAGAAATTGAGAAGAGGAAAGGATCAGCAAGATTGGGAAAGAGACAAGACAGGATAATGAGGTAAATAAAATAAATATATATTTTTTGCATGTATCAAAATATAATAAACCCATTTTTATAATAATATAGGATAATAAAATCTTCAAAAAATAATATAAGATATATTCCTTGACAGTCAAGCAATTATATTCTAGTTTCTTATTTTTTTTTTTGAAATACTTATTTATTCTGTATACAATGTTCTTTCTGTATGTACACCTGCACTCCAGAAGGGGGCACCAGATCTCATTATAGATGGTTGTGAGCCACCATGTAGTTACTGGGAATTGAACTCGGGACCTCTGGAAGAGCAGCCAGTGCTCTTAACCTCTGAGCCATCTCTCCAGTTCATGTCCTTGTTCCTTAACTTTACTTCTTTCTATTTTATTCTGATTTTTTTTTTTCTAACCCTGAGTGACCTCCAGGGCTTGGGGACTTCCCAAGGCTCCCAGTATGATTCTGATTATGAAGTATGAATATCAGAAAGTCATGTGAGGTAGCTTGAGTGCTTTTCCAAGCAGTCCAGATGACTCAAAATGTCTGGATAATTCAAACAGTTTTCCAATATTGAGTTGGCTAATTCCAGTATACTCTCAATAGTCTCTAAAATATTTGAATTCTTAATTAATCAAATTTTTTGTGTATATTTTTTTGTTCCTTTGAGTTTTAAAACAATCATCCTGTGTGTGTGTGTGTGTGTGTGTGTGTTTATGTGTGTGTGTTTGTATGTGTGGGTATATCCATGTGTGTAGAGGCCAGCGGTTGATGTTCTGTGCCTTCCTCAATCAATATTCAACTTTTTTTTTTAGACACAGGGTCTCACTGAACCTGGGGCTCATAGTTTCAGCTGGAACACCTTGGAAGCATGCTCCAGGGATCTGCCTGCCTCTGCCTCCCCTGCTGAGGCTACAGGCACATGGTACCATGACCTGCTTCTTACATGAGTGCCAGAGACCCAGATTCAGGTCCTCACACTTGAATCGCAAGTACTTTATATTGTCTGAGCCATCTCCCCAGCCTGAAAATAGTCATCTTAAAACAAAATTTATGCTATTTTGTTGTTTATGAGAAAGGCTTTCTCTGTGTAGCCCTGCCTCCTGGAATTTGCCCTGTAGACCAGGCTGGCCTCTAACTCGGAGATCCACCTGTCCATGCATCCTAAAATTAAAGACACGTGCCACCACTGCCTGGCTGTCACCTGTTTTATTTTATTTTATTTTTAATTCTAAAAATTATCTTCGGTTATTGAGAAAAACTGGAAATGTATCAATAAGAACAGAGATGATAATAAAAAATAGGCCTGAATCCCCCTCACCCACCACATTGTTGATACGGTTACTATTATTTTCAGCAGCTTAAAGCATTTTAAATTTATATTTTTATTTTTATTTTTTATTTTTTTAGAATCAGAAACACTTTCTGCATCCAAACACTCTCAAAGAAGCACGGTGACCACCTCTGCAGACAAAGACTTACTCAGACCCACAGGTATGCAGAACTTACTACTTAGACTTTTCCTTCCACCTTGGGCTAGGGAGACACAAGCACTAAATAAAACTGGTCCAGATATGACCCCAGGCCTTAGCGCCATGGTGTCCACCCGGAGCATGCTGACATCAGGAGTGTGTGTGGTTGGCTCCTTCTCATGGGCTGGAGGGAGGACGGTGAGGGAAGGGGGAGGAAGGAGAGTACCCTCTTTAATTCATGGAGTTTGGGGGCCACACGTGCCATCTCTGGCACATTTTCTATTATATTGCTGGCTAGAAACTTAGGAGGGCTTTGTCCTTTCTTTGTTTTCCAAGGGTCCAAAGCCTGGATTCCGCCAGCAACTTCACAAAAAATGGATGAGTTTGAAACTCACCTCAGCACTGAGGTCTGGGAGGTCTCTCTGGCCTGTGAGTGGTTTGTGTCTGGCCTTGGCAACAATCTGGTGTTTGTCTATGGCTGTTGGAATCAACTGTTTTGGTTCCACTGTGGTCGACTTCCACATCTGCCAGCTAGTCAGGAGGAAAGTGAAACATCCTGTCTTCTGCTATCTACTTATTTCCAAGGCCCCTCTTTTGAGGCCTTTCCTTTTTCTCAGCAGCTTCTGATTTGAAGCCGGCATAGTAGTTAAAAAAAAAAATCTCCTTTTTATTTTTCATCCTGTTATTTATTTTAAATTGCAAGGACCTTAAATCAATGGAAAACAACAAAATTCTCTCATGCAATTCATCCTAAATCCCAGCCCCTTCTGACACAATCCCTATTATTTGTTCAAACATTCTAGATAATTTTGTACTATGGCTTTATTTATTTGTGTGCGATTCTTTTTTCCTCCATTGAGAATAACCTTATAAAACTTCTTATCTCCAGTACTGAAGTTAAAAACTTTAAGGTATTTGAGATATACAGTCTTCTTGTTTGTAACCATCAAAAGCCCCATTATTTGGGCTCCCTTGATTGCTTTTGTTATTTCTGTTTTGCACAAAGCTCTGTTATGTGAGCACCCAGCAAAGAAGAATTAACTTGGAGCAAAAACTGTACATTCTTATACTCTTACATATGTTTTAAATCTATTTGCTATTATAGTGACCTTTGTGACATGACATGCACATGGAGGTCAGAAGACAAGGTTCTGGAGTCATTTCTCTTCCACCTTTAACTGGGTCCTGGGTGGCTAAACTCATCACCTTTGTGCTGTACCTGCTTCTGCTCACTGAGTCATCACTAAGCACACTTAAAATTGTGAACATGTATGTGCCTGTGTGAGTGAATGCTACTTGTGTGGGGGTGCTCACGGAGGGATTGGATCCCTTGAGGCTCTAGTCACAGGTGGCTGCGAGCCATCGTGTGGGTGCTGGGAATTGAATTTGAGTCCTCTGGGAGACCAGCCAGTGCTCTCAACTGCTGAACCATCTGTTCCACTGGAGGTGGCAGGCCCTCTCTGCAGTTGGCCCTTTGGCTCATCAGTTTCTGTCATGAGCTCCCTCTCCTCCACAGCGCCTCATCAGTTCTGTGATCAGTAAGGCAGAGGGCAGCCTCTAGGCTTCTTCCTGCCTTCCTGCCCTGAATGCTGAAGCCTTTGCATTTTGTTGTTTTTTTCCCCCCTTCATTTTTACATCATTTTACATTTTACATTTTACATTTTTACTTCCTTTCTCATTCCGCACGGAGATCTGCCTTGTCATGTTAAACTGCTGTGTGCTGTTTCACTACCTGTTGATTGGCATTTCAGTTGCCCTGCTGTTTTTGTGTTACAGTGTTTCTATGCACTTCCTTCAGCCTGCATACTTCCTTAAGCATCTATGCAAGTGTTTCTTTAGGAGAGTTGGTAATGAAGTAGAGATGTTATGTTGGGGAAAAAAAGTGCACTATTAAATTTAATAACTCTTACCAAACTGTCCTTGGGATAGGCTGAGCCATTTTGTTTTTCCTCCCACATTTGTTATGCCTCTCCATATCCTCCCTGCACTTGATACGACCATTTGTTCACTTTGTTCTTCCAGTCCCCCAAGAACATGTCATCTTGTTCCTCTCTTGTTCTGACTGAGTCAGAGCATCTTTTCTCTGTGTTTGCTGGAGAAAACATTTATCCTTTAACTGTGTGGAGGAGGCAATGTGGCATCACTCCCAGAGAGACTCAGAAGATGGGATGGGGGCGACGGATGGGACTGAGTGGAGGAGAGATGATGGGTCTTAATGTAGGACTGTAAATCAAGAGGCAGTAAGAGGAGGAGGATTTGATGTTGAAAATCTTTGACTTGTACCAACTCACGGTAGGGGTGGATTGAAATCAGAGCCAGAAGTTTACAGCTTACGGGAGAGTGGCTGACAGGATCTATCATTCTCTGTTCACGGGGGGGGGGGGGTAAATGTGGGCACTGTTTTTCAGCAAAAGAGAAAGCAGGAAGGGGAAAGATGATGGAGGATGGGCAGAACGTTCATGTAACTATTACCTTTTATTTCATTCAAATCTTAAACTAATTTATATCGAATTACAAGCAATCAAGACCTCATCTGATGTTCTCCCTACTATATTCTCTCCCTGATAATTGTTGTTTCATTCCTCTGTGGCCAAATCCCAGCAGGCAGAGTTCTTGCTTCCCTATCTGTGGGTTACACTGTGAAAGAGGACCATGTTGTAAGAATATCTGTCTTTATATCACAGGTCATTATGGAAGAAATTGGGTTTTGTTTAACATGTATTAGGTCTTGGGTCCAATACTAATGTATTTTTGTGTACTACTTCAAGTAGGATCTCTTTGCTAGATATTCAGAGCAACTCTTCAGGTGCCAGGTCCAGAAAGTCAACCTCTAATAGCTGGCTCTTAGCTGTTGCTTGTTTTATGGTTTGAACATCAGGTATTTTGGAGTTCTTCAAAAGCTCATGTAGGATCCCCAGCTAGTGATGCGATTTTATCTACATATGTGTCTCTGTGTGTGAATACATGCCACATGTGTGTGGGTTCCCACAGAGGCCATAAGAGGCCACTGGATCCTCTGGAACTGAAGTTATAAGCAGATGTAAGCCACCCTACATGGGTTCTGGGAACTGGAGTCCCGTCCTCTGTTAGAGCAGGAAGTACTCTTAACAGCAAGTCTTAACAGCAAGGCTGTCTCCCAGCCCCTAGCGATGTTCTTTTGGAAGGTTCTGGAAATTTGGGGAGATGAAAAGTAGCTGGAAGAAGTGGATCACAGGAGCAGATCTATGGGGGTATCCAGCCTCTCACCTCTTTGTCTCTCTGCTTACTATCTGCGACAGATCAATAACTTCATCTGCGTCATTAGACTCTCCAAAACTGCTGCAATGCCCCAAATGGTTAGAAATTATAATTTGGTTGTAAATATAACCAAATAACAATACAAACTATGAAGAAGGTCTTACATGGGTTTTCTTTCCTTCTCTGATGTAGCCATGGCAGGATTCTCCAACCCTTTGTGCTTCATAGCAGACTCGTGTGACATGGTCCCTAGTTAGCCCTCCTTCGTACGGGTTCCTCCATCCCTTCTTTAGTGCTCCGCACAACCATCTGCATGGCCTCTCGTAGGTGTTAAAAGAGCTCCATGGAGTCACATGGCTATATCACCATTTTGTGGTGGTTTCTCTTTATTTTTAATAATTTCAGGTGAATTACATTCTTTGTCCTTTTCTACATCACAGTCTCCTCGAAATATAAAACGTAATGATAGTGGTACACATACATGTCAGGGCTGTTGAGGGAGGAAATGCAAGCGAAAAGGACCTAGTATATAATTATTGACTGGTAAATGATAGTTAATGACAAGGGATTCATTTCTTCTTGATTCTTTACATCTCTGCTGCAGCCCACTCAGAACCCTCTGTTTGAGGCTAGTTCAGATGGGTAATAAGAGGCCATTTATATCAGTTTTTGGCTAACTCCATATTCTTGCTAAGAAAATATGTACTTTTTAGTTTTATGATATTTTAAAAACTGCTGAGCACACTAGGGGAAGAGCAGATAAGTGACAAAATGACAAACTCTAGGACATTCAGAAGCTTTTAAAACCTTACCATTGTAATTCTCTACCATTAGGGAGGAGGAGATTCTGAGAGCTTGCATAACCTTCTTTCTAGACAGCTTTGTAGGCCTCTCAATCACTGGTTTTATTGCTCCAGACAGGTGCGCTCATTTGTGTGTTGTGTGTATGTGTGTGTGTGTGTGTTGGCTCTTTAGTCCTCTGTTGCTCCTTGGTTGCTTTTTTTCTTTTTATATTCCTCAGTCTGTGGAGGTTCCACTTTTTAGTCGAGGAATGGAAATCATGTAATGTTAAAAAAAAAAAAAAAGCTGTGGCTCAGTTTTCTATTCAAGGACTTCTAGATTTATGCAATTTATTTTATAAGGCGTTTCTGTGTACATGTATCTTCTAGCTTCAGTGTTCTCTAATTTCAAAGTGTCTGGTCTTCAGTGGAAGCCTTACCAGGGAGGCACATTCTCTCCTCTGCTCCTTTGCTATGTGAGACATATTGGTATCCAAGATCCAAGATCACACAGCTGCAAAAACAGAGGGCTGGGACTTACAGCCACATTTCAGAGATCCTCATTTTAACTGTCGGTCTAAGAACATCAGATTAGGAAGTAGCATAGAGAAGTAATATTTGTACACTAGTGAAAATCTAATCCCCAAAAGGGCTGGCCTTAAACAGCAACAACAGACTAACAAACAAACAAAAACCTTTTTAGTGGATGAGTGTGTGCATATCTGTGTATATTCTGGGGTGGAGGTGGGAGTTGGGGAGAGGGTCATGTACCTGTGAATGAGAAAGCCAAATGACAGCCTCAGCTCAGATGTCATCTTCAAGTCCACTACCCTCCTCTTTTATTGGCCTGAAGATCACTAAGTAGACTAGACTATTGGCTAATGAGCCCCAGGGATCCTCTTGTCTTTGCCTTCTGGTGTTGGGACTGTAAATACATGCCATCATACATGCATTTTTACACAGATGCTGGGGATTGAAGATCCCTGCACTTGGAAGGCAAATGCCTTCCAGACTGATCCCTTCCCCAACCATCTAGGTTTGAGCTTTTTTCTAGGTCTGGCTGCCATTTTCTCTCAACAGCTTCCTTGAGGGCAGGGTTTTGTATTTTAATGTTTAAGTTTATCATTCTCTCAGACTCTAAATGAATCATTATACTATTGTGCTGTGTACTATCGTATGTAATAAGCACTGCTGTACTATAGAACATAGATGGACAGTGTCTTTCCACAATATCAGAATTTACTGAATAACTGATTCACAAGGTACATTGGTTTTGCTGGTTGTACTTTGTGAAGTGCTCCTGAATTCCATGATAGCTGGCTGGTTGCAAGTTCTTTTCTTTGAATTTTAAGTACTAGTAATAACTCTCAGACCACGCATTACATATCACACAGCAGACATATCCACACATTT